GCCGGAGAACAGGTGTTTTGAGGTAAACAATAAGAAATTCTCAATAAACTACTTGACCAATATACCCCGATTTTGTTGCAGTTACTTAGAAGTATGAATACTACGGATTTGAGGAATTTCAAGTAGTTGCGTGAAATTATCGTCGCATTACCAACAAGTGCCAAAACCTGCATTTTTCCTAGGCTTTCGGCGATAATTTTTTTGCTACCAGTCGTATCTTTTTACGTGTAGTCTCATCTGTAGGTCACATAAATACCTAAAAATCTTGTTTGAAGAGTTCCTTCATTCCTGCCAGCACTTTGGATTGAATCCCAAAAACGCGTTTTCTCTTTGTTTGTTGTCGAATAAAAAGTTTTGACACAAAAGTTGGTGTACCCATTTTATGCGTCCATGTTTTAAATACCCCCTTGAACAACTTGCAGCAATAAATCCAGACTTTACAATTATTTCAGGGAAATTTGCTAATATAATTAGACTATCATCTTAATTTTCAATATTAATTATTAATATTTGGTAATAATAACTTAGGTTTACTCATAGCATGGAATATACAATACGATAGATGGCGATAACAAAATTGATATCTGCTAAAAGCAACTATGCAGCTGTGTTAGATAGAATCTAACACGACATCTATGGCGTAACTTTCAGAAGCGACATCGATCGCGGGTTAAGGTATAAAATGATAATGATGGAAATGCATAAGCGAGACAAGTACAAGGACAAGTTTCAAATACTACGTTAAGGATATCTATTTTTCAAAAAAATTGGCATACCACGGCAAGGGTGTTACGTATCTTGAAAAGTGACATTATGTCGCTTTTTTGACTTTATATAGGTTTTTGTGGCATTATGTAAGTTTTTATACAAGAAGTAGTTGTGCTATTTCACGAGGTGCAACCATATCTCCCTCTGTGTAGATACATCACCAGGAAGAGCTAATACCTGAAGGATGCTGCATTGTAGCTGAACATAAAAATCCGATCCACGACATGGCAAGAGAAAATGAGAATGAGAACGAGAGCATCTTCAGATATCATCTCCACGTCGGAGAATGCTCGGCGAGGAGCAATAATAAAGGACTATTAGGCTAAAGCGTACCGCCGAGGCTGGAATCTCATCGAAACATAAATATGAAACAAATGGGCTCGGTGCCGCCCCTTCGCTAAATACAATCACAAATTTATCGATTAAAACTTATTAATTCGCCCGAGTTTCTAATTGGAGAATCGGCATCAGTCATTTGCTCACCTGCATGGCCAGCTGGGGCTGAAGTGGCATCGGGGAGTAACAAAGAACTGGGCAGAAACAGCATACAGACAAGTAATAATGAATGTCTGTTTCAAAATCATTGCATTGATATCCTGAAAATGCGTGAAGTTCGTGGTCCATCTGGTCATTAGTAATAGACTATACAGAATATGAAGCCAATATTCCTGGCTTATACAAGGTGATTAAAAAAACAATGGCTATATTTTCAGAGCAAAAAACATATTCAAAAATAATGAATAGCATCTAAAATATGCCATTACCAAGGGAAAGAAGGAATTTTTATGCTAATCAATAGACTGAACAAGGACAACACATGAATATTGAACAAATACAATCATGAGACAAGATTACTACTATTCGTCATTTGCTTGTCTGGGCGGTCCGTAGGACCTTCGCTTATTAGTTACTGGCGTACATTAGTCGAATCTGTCAGTCCTGGTTGCAGAGAAGCCAGGCAATGTCAAGGAAAAAGAGAAAGGGAAAGAGATGAAAAAAGAAAAAGTGTCAGTATAAGAGGAAAACCTAGGCTTTTTGACTTGGTACACGGAATAATTTTGAGGTGAACTAAAAACAAAATTTGATTCAGGTTTTGTGAGAGTGTAATTGTGGGTTTACTGAAGGTGTGCTAATTTTTTATTCAATTCATGTGAAATTGAATACCTTCTTCAAAAATAAAGAAGATTAAAAAAACTCAGTTGTGTGGAATATAATCTCCTGTTTTCTTCGGTAAGGGTAAAAAACTACCAATTTATACGCCACTGATTTAGTCTTAGGCACGCCGATGTTTGCATGTTTTGGTTATACTACATGTATAAAATGCAACATAGTCAATATTTTATTCCACTCTGAAGATGAATTTTTTTCGTTTATTATTTGGTGTACCTGAATGTTTTGAGACAATATTCAATAATGCCTTTAAAACGCGCCACAGTACATATTTATCACAAGGTGATAGAGACCAGGTCGTGTGAATAGATGTAAAATCAAGGCAAATAGTCCATTACTTATTGCAATAACTTAGTTTATTTATTACATTTTGCTTTAAATTTGGGACTGAAGAAAGGTGTCAAGCAACAGTTATTCCCTTAGCGATAAAATAATGCACTAGCTGTTAAATCCAATATAGCGGATGCATTTGTCATTTTCATAGTAAGCCCTATGATATGGATATCAAATGAAAGGGCGAAATACAATAGAGTGAGGTTATTCTAATAAGTCCAGTATGGCGGCCGTCGCAGAATGACGACTTACAGATTCTTTAGTCTCTATCCAGTTATACCTGACCAATTGAGCTCAAATATTGTGTTGGTTCCCATGACAACACAGTAAGTGTCGCCACTTTTAATCCAATATGGGGCATGCTGCATAAAAATATGTTATTTCCATAATAACACCTGTAATATGGGTATCAAATGAAAGGGTTTGATGAGTTGGCCACGATCTGTATGGCGAAGGCATTCTAAATTTATTCATATTTCATACTTAGATATTCTTCATTTTTGCAAGAATTAGTCTTTACCAATTAATCTGGAACCTTATATAATGTCGTGGCCATATTGTAAAATTGACGATGAAATGTGACTATTTGATGATATGCTCCATCATTTCATGAAATGGCCAAGTTTAACCACATTGTCAGAATTTAACGATCTGGTCATCCACGTTTGTATATATCGTACACCAATTAATAAGGGCCCAGAATATGTTATGAACTCGTTTGATTGTTCTTGATTGAAATAAAGGACTCTAGGAGATTTAATTTTAGTCGGCCGCCATGTCCAACCGCTTTATACACTTTCTATAAAATATTATATTTTTGCATTGGAATTACTCGCAGCAGGACCGTTGATGTATTTTGTCTTAAACATAAGGTGTTCCTCATCCGCAGTTTCTATAAAATGATACTTCGACAGCCAGTAATAATTGATTGGCTTCTTTCGCGTGGTAACCCTACTCTCCTTTATTTGACGTAAAACATAAAAATGAAATTGAAATGAGTTTTACATCCAGCATACGTAAAATAATAGACTCATTCGATAAACAAACACAATATTTTAGCTAGTACATGATTTTGCCTTCAAACAGGTGAATAATGTAAATGATATAATTAATTAATTGAAGTAATTATCTGTGTACCTCTTCATTGTAAAGTCTTTGAATCTTACTTTCTCCCTCAATTAGTAACGGACTATTGGATTTTCACTTCGGAAAACAACTTTGTTAGTAACAGATATGTTGGCATGTAAACAAAGCACTCTCAGTGCCTCTATCGCTAATTAATGTAGTTATTTCAGGATTTGTTCAAAAATGCTTGAACACTCCATGAACTATCTAAAATGAATTTATAATTCACTTTCTCATAGATGGCTCTAGTATCTTCAGTTCCTTTCTGGCGCCTTACTATCACCAGTTTTAATTACTTATGTATCCTCAGGTGGAATAGGTTAGTCAATGTCTGAAAATACCCAACCAAAATCAGCATAAGTTCATTTCTGTGTTCTGCTACTTCGTCATAGATGGCGCTAGTGTGTTTTTGATCCATTTTTGTTGCTACAGCATATGATTGGCTATCTTCAAGTAAAATACGTTAATCAGTGCTTAGGGATAAAAAGGCCGGATAAATTCTTGGCATTTCTCGGCTACCTTCCGCCTTGTGGCATTACGTTAAGCTCTCTTTGATATCCTAGCTGCTGAAGGGGTAAGTGCAAATGTAACATATGTCTCTGGAAACATGGAAACCTCCATTTAGCCTTATAGACTTTTTTTAAGCATCATACTCAACGTTACCTCATTCAAATTCAAGTTAACGCGTAAAATTGGTCGACAAGGTGACAAAATCCACGCGCAAACCTTCATAAACAATGACCTAATAATGTAATATAATAAAAGTACACCGGCCGCGGTTGTTATCAAGATCGGAGCTTCAAAAGTCGTGTCGAGGTTAAACGATGCGCATCTGGCCTGCTCGTATTCCCATCTCTATGGGCGTTTGCGAAGACGCATAGGCGTACAACTATTAAGTAGGAGATACTGAGAATAATTGTGTACTTCATTTTGCTAGTGCTGTATATTGGCTGATAATAGATGGCAAAACAATTCTGAGTGTATACTAGTACACCTTAGAGCCATATAAATACATATTCTCAAACTGAGAGCTCCTCATTCCGTTTCGTGGGTGTTCTCACAAACATATGCTGAAAAATACACGGACGATTTTAATAAACCATTGTCAATAGAAGCTTAGAATGTTGCATTATGTCCAGGATATCTCATTTTTGTATAGGAATTTTAAAGGTTCAAGTGGAACTATTAATATAACAATTTCAGACTTCTCATGGTTGAAGGCTTACAAGCAAGAACAAACAGAATAAATGAGCGCGGAATACTGGAAAGCTGAAGAAATGGGTCGTATTCAGAACCATCTTGCTATGTTTGAATGACACTAACACTCTATTTGTTGCAGCTGCTATTACTTAGTGAAACATGTCCAGAATCATGATTGAAATGCATTAGTTTGTGGGTTCTAAAGGAAAAATACAGACAATACAGACGATTTATCTAATATAAGATTTCCATTCGATTTTTGTAATATCGTACAACGCACGTTATTCAATTAAATTCACCATTGGGCGTCGCCCTGTCAACCTGTTTCTGACTGACCTCGTGACCGTGTTTGTTATACTATACTTTATAGTATATCCTGGATTTGAATATGATATTTTTTATAGCTTCGGGGTGGTCCATTGTTCACGTGATGCTCGATATGGGGGGAGAAAGAGGATTAAGGTAAAATCACGCAATATTACAAGAGTAAGGAAGGAGGAGAAACATAGAGTTTTTTTTGATACGCAAGATTTGGAAACCGAAAAGCGACGCGTGACTTTGACTCGCAGTTGTCAGGCAACAATTGCCTTCCCGCCGGCTTGGCTTGTAATTCTGAAAATCTTTGAGATATCATGTACTATAAATGTAATGAATACTCGCATTCGCATTGGCGAATACTTGCATGTTTTTTGATATACCTATGCATTCGCATCCGCATTCGCAAAATTCATGCAAATACCAGAAAAAGAGATAGTGAAAATTAGTATTATTAGGTACTTAAAACAAAATAATATCAGTTTATTCTTCTGCTAGGAAAACATGTATTAAAAAATAAACAAAAGTTTTACTCATAAAAAAACTTTTTTCTTACTGTTAAAGTTATACCCTGAATCAATGAAGTTATCAAGATGAAATTCGGAGTGACCAAATGGAAGCACGAGTACTATATTCTAGCGCAAAAGTGACAGATGTGAATACCAGGATTTTAACACATTGACTGCGAACTGGGATGAGGATACCCACCTCAGAAACTGAAATACTTTTTTTGGAAGCGGCAGAGAGCGTCGAAAGAGGACGGAGGGCGTCTTTTGACGCTGTTCGCACTGAACGTGTTAAGAAACAATTAACAATAACAGAGTAACCACATGACACACTTTAACCACAAGATTTACTCGTTTTGAACAAAAATAATCGCTCGGGATGCGTTGGGATTAGCTCGGATAGTTCCGAAATAAAACGCCATAATGAGCGTTTGACTCGGGCGCCTTAGACTACTTACGCCAGATTTCAAAACTAAATATTCGTATTTGCATTCGTGAATATCGACGGCAAATTTTCGTGAATGCTGAAAAATTGTCATTCGTTATACCACTACCTTGTACTAAAAGATATACATTATTTTGAAAAGGGGAAGGGAGATGCAATCTATAGCCTCACCACGTATCACCAGGAGGGAGAAGATAAAAAAAGTTGTTGAAAACATTGCGTAATCAGTTGCATTGTTTGAGGATCATAGTTTAGCACCTGTGAGAGTTATACAGGGTGTCCGTAAAATTGGGGTTTTCCTTTACACGACGTGTAGATCTTGAAAACATAGGCAATTTTTCTTAGTACCATATACACCAATGTCTTAAGGGAACTGAGATAAAGGGCTCTGCAATATCAAAAATATCTGAATACCGTCCTGTAGCCACGACAGCACCGACTGGTACAAGGTCACTGGCTTAACCCGACGACAGAATTGGGTCGGGGTCAGTGTGTCAGGTCAGTATGCAACCTTCAAGTACGGTCACGCGTGTAGAGGTAATCGCGTAGACGAGAATCCCTCAACAAGCACTAGAGACGTGGCTAGAGAAGTGCAAGTATCAAAAACTAAAGTGTGGCAAACGCTGCGTGAAGAGGGGCTGTATCCGTTTCACGTCCAACGTGTACAAGCCCTTCAACCTGACGATTTTCCAGCAAGAGTGCGGTTTTGTGAGTGGTTGTTGCATCAACATGACAATAATCCGGACTTTTTGAAGTGCATATTGGTGACAGACGAATCTACGTTCACGCGTAATGGGGTGAATAACTTTCGCAACACTCATGTTTGGTCATTAGAAAATCCGCAAGCTGTCCGTCGGGCACATTTTCAACAAACATCTTCGGTGAATGTTTGGGCTGGCATGGTCAACGGTATGCTCATTGGACCATTTATTCTCCCAAATCGATTGGACGGGATGCAATACCTAGACTTTTTACGCAACATTTTGCCTTCCTTGTTAGAAGATGTGCCATTAAGTGTAAGACAATCAGTGTGGTTTCTGCGTCTGCTCGGTAGCGCATCAGCTAATTTCATTTTCTGTTGGAGCGGTATGATTTCGGGCAGAGACGTACTTAGTCCTTCTAGTCAACTGGAGAGTGAGTACTTTTTCGTTTATTTCTTTTTACTTTGTCGCCCTCGTTTCACTACACATTACCTTTGTTATTTCAAGGGTAGTTGTTTCTGAAAAGGAAAACCCCAACTTTGCGTATTAAGATGTAGTCGTTTGACATCTACAAAAGCAATGCTGAATACGTATCCAACCAGGCAAAGCATGAACATACACATTTGGACTGAGTATATGAATTCACTATATCTTAAAGGTTTTAATCCTTTCAACAAATTGCCTAGGAACATCAAAGGATGTTCAACTCCTTATAAATTCAAGAAATAGTTACTTAAATTTATTAATATATGACTTGTATAGTTCGCGTTTTGCCGATTGATGTTCTTTCCTTTCAAGATCTACTAATCTTAAGGTATATAGTGTTTTTGCTACAAGTTATCTGTTTTATTGCTGTGTATTTTTATTGGCTGTGTATATTACGGGTATCTTATTTACATCTGAATAACTCTTCTTCTTCTGCTTCTTCTTCTTATTCTTCAAAGGAGGAGATTGGGTGAATTCAAACCACCAGTGACAAGAGAGGAAATTGTACATTACGTACATTTGATCTACACGGTTCATAAATTAAGTGATGAGACTGATTTTTATTTTATTTTTTATTATTAAAATATAATTACAATTTTGCATTCTCGCCCTCAGAGTAACTTACTTCTGAACCTACACAGTGCAGAAGAAAATTCTTCCTTTCCTCATAGCAGTGCTGGAACTCCGACACTGGAATAGCCTTCAGCTGGTCGGTTACAGACTTTTGAATGTCTTCGACTGTCTCAACATAAGTAAGAAGCAAGTCAGAAGGACTCAAGTCAGGCGAATAAGGAGGCTGACGAGCGACGGTTATGTCTTTACTGGCCAAAAACTCGTTTACTGACATTGCTGTATGACAAAGAGCATTACCATGATGCAACACCTAGTTGTTCTTGAGTTGATGAAGGGTGGTCTGAGTCAAATTTAACTCTTTCCCGATCATTCTGACGGTCAACCCACGGATCCCGGATTTTGTTGATATTTTCATCGGTTCTTGAAGATGAAGGTCTTCCGCTTCGTGGTTCATCTTCATTTGACTCTCTCTCCCTCCTGAAAATGCCTTCAACCACCGACAAACTTGGGCTTTTAAGAAAACCCTATCTCCGTAGCCCTGCTGAAGTTTAGCAAGAGTTTCTGTTGCTCTGCGCCCAACCTGATAGCACACCGTTGCTCGAAATTGATGCAATTCGTTCTTAGAACACAATAGGAAAAGCTATTTCACAAAAAAAAACGCTACGGACAAGTTATTGATTTGAGCGACTTCAGACTTGTGCTGAAGGCAGGTCACATGTTCCCCTGTCTCCCCTCCCAGCCCAGCGCCTATAGAGTTGCCAGATATCGAACGCCACGTTGCCAGTCTCATCACTTAATTTTCAGACCTCGTATGATAGCCTGTGGATGGTGGGAAAGGCGGTTCAATGCCAACCTAGCTAAATTTATCTTGATGGAAACCGCTTCCAGGTTGGTCACAGAGACTTTTATTCCTCTTATGATTTGAAAACGAGGAAAGGGAAGTAACCTAAAAGATAAATGACAAATAATATCAGTATACAGGAAATTGACAAAATGACCACAGTTTCATCACCTGGGATTGAAACAATGACTACACTTGTCTATGATCAAATGAAATATTGGAGGCGAAATCTTCCTGATTTCACTTACTTTGCTTATCCAAATCAGTATGGACCACCAAAGAGCTCCTGGTAGTAGAATATATAGAATATAGTGTACCTAATCACATTATATGGACATACAAGCCTGAATTTAATTTATCACCACATATGCTCTGGGGTACCGTGGAAGATCTAGAGTTTATGCTGTGCCCGTAGCAAAGCTTGTTCTGTGCCCCTTAACCGATAAGGGGAATTTCATTTGGTAGCACAATGCTTCAAGCAATAGAGAAAACCACTCCCAGCAAGGTAAAGCACCTTCCTCGGGAAGACAAAGCCACTGGAAAGTGGAAAACAGTTGGCTGATTCATTCGCCGCAAATTTAAGTCCTGCTTAATTATTTAACGCGCTAAGCTCATTTTCTGGCGCGCCCATGTATATTCGTATTCCTATCTTTATGGGCGTTCGATGAGGCCTGTTCTGTTCTCATTTATTGTGAATACGTTTCGGTCTGATTACCTGAGAAAAACGAACGGTACCGCAAATAGGGAGAAAGGATTCAAATTTATTGGGTTCACTTTTTATAATTGCTCCAGTAAGTGCGTTCTAGCAATAACTCAACAGCCCAGATGATATCTTTTCTATAAGGATAAATAATGGCGATCACAACAACGTTGCCTTTGGCGTGGTATACATACTGTTTCGCCTAGCATCAACAGTGATTCATCAGTTTGGGTGCTCTAGATACCTGGTGATTTGATTAACTTGTTTGGTGGGATTACAATGATATCCTTGTCCTGACAATGATTTTCAAAAGACTTGTAAACGTCAAGGTCAGATGATAAAAAAATTGTTAAAAAATCGATATAATATTAAAAATCGGTACAAAGTCAACTTGTGTATGTCATCTTCTAATTTATTTATTTATACACTACTCAACAGCAACAGCCATTTACAGAGTAACACAGCCTGGATTACAAAAAAACACAATTATATTATAATAAAAGTAAGTAGGTCAAACACAAAGGAGTTATTTATAAGTATGTACAAATATCATAGTTCAAATAAGAAAGCAGAAAACAGACAAAACCTCACAAAAATATATCCGATTGTTCTGCAACGTCATTAACCCTACCACAAGAGTAAAACAGTGGAGAAAACTTTGAGATGTTTATTCCAGGATAGGCAAATAAAAAGTATCAAATTGTCCAGAATTTAAACGTGGAACAAGAAAATTAAATTTATGCAATATCGATACAGTTGTGCGATATACGACGCACAAAATTAATCTGGCACTTATCACGCCTTTTCCTGAGACTTTAGATCAAAAGCTTTTTCTAAGATTTTTTGAAGTTAACCAATAGGTGGGATACTGCCGTCTTCCTTGAAATGTAGGTAC